TCTGCATCTGGTACAACATAAGCAAAGAGCCCAGCACAGGCTACGACCTGTGTGGCTGGGGAGCAGCACTGCTGAGTGGGACCTGGGGGTGCTGGTGGGCAAGCTGAACATGAGCCAGCAGAACACTGCTGTAGCAACCAAGGCAAACTGGATCCTGAGATGCATCCACAGGGGCATTACTAGCAGAGACACATGATCACCCCACTTGTCAGGCTGCATTTGGAGTACTGGATCCAGTTCTGGGCCCCACAGTTCAAGAAAGATGCAGACAGGAAAAGGTCCAAGGGAAGGCCACAAAGATTATCAAAGGGCTGGACAAACTGCCCCATGAGGAAACACTTGAAGGACTTGGGTCTTTTTACCCTGGAGAAGGCTCAGGGGAGACCTCATTGCATAACTTAAAAGAGCAGCTACACCAAAGACAGCAGCTCGCTTTTCACAAGGAGCCACATGGAGAAAACAAAGGGCAACAGGTACAGGCTGTATCAGGAAAGGTTTAATTTCAATACAAAAGATTTTTTTAGAGTGAGAAAAATCAATCACCAGAACAACCTCCTCAGAGGGAGGGTAGATTCTCTGTCACTGGAGGTTTTTGAGATGACTGGACAGGGTGCTAGATAGCCTCATCTAGGGTGTCTTTCTCATGAAAAGTTGGACCAGATGAGCTTTTGAGGTCCTTCCAACCTGGGCTTCTATGTTTCTAAGTCATGGTATGCCTGATTTGCACTTACAAACACAGGACTGGAGAAGGAAGCAGCAGCAGCACCGCAAAGAAAGCTCAAGGAAAACAGTGCAGGAAGGAGTTTTTGTTATTGGGGATTAGGTAGCCTATGGATCTCCTGGCTCTGATGAGGCCATGCATTCTCACTGACAGCTTGCCAAGAATAACCACCACCCCACCCACTTTTTTCACCCATTAATACAACTCAGTATTAATTGCACTGCTTTGGAGAAAGACTTATTAGCAGCCTGTACAGTAGGACCTCCTCATAAGAACACAGGTCTCTTCCAGGACATGTGAATCTCTGTTCTTGGTGACCCTGACTAGAGCAAGTACCTCTTAATCACATGCAAATACCTGTTGCTGAGATCCAAAGGTTAGACAGTGTTAAGAAACTGGTCATGTGTATTTCTTTTCTGCAGATTATGGTAAAATCCTCAGCACTGTGAATTTAGCAAGTGTTAATCTCATACTTTGAGACTCCCTTTTGCTCAACAGTGCCTGCTGATATGACTTGTTTACAGTAAAGATCTGTAATGTGCGTGTGCAAGTTGTATTTTGGAAAGCAGGTTACAGATGTCAAATGAAGCTAATTTGGCCACCAGATGGCATAGATTTATTTATTTTTTTATGTCTCCGTATCAGTCTTAGCAGCTGAGGGACTAACATTAAATTATAAGTGGATTTGTGAAAGGTTCACTTTTTCAGTGAAGCTTTGGTTAAACAGGGCCTGTGTGGTTGTAAGAGGATCCATACATCTCATATCCAGAGAAAAAAAAACCTAAACGTTTAAAGTGAAACTGTAGGTCTTGAACATGGCCTCCATAAAAATAATAGAATTACAGAATCATGGAATGGTTTGTATTGGAAGGGACCTTAAAGATCATCCAGTTCCAACCCCCCTGCCATGAGCAGGGACACCTTCCACTAGACCAGGTTGCTCAAAGCCTCATCCAGCCTGGCCTTAAACACTTCCATGGAGGGGGCATCCACAGCTTCTCTGGGCAACCTGTTCCAGTGTCTGACCACCCTCACAGTGAAAAACTTCTTCCTAATATCTAATCTAAACCTCCCCTCTTTCAGTTTAAACCCATTTCCCCTTGTTCTGTCACTACCTGCCTTTGTAAAAAGTCCCTCCCCAGCTTTCCTCTAGGCCACCTGGAAGGCCGCTATAAAGTCTCCCCGGAGCCTTCTCCTCTCCAGGCTGAACAGCCCCAACTCTCTCAGCCTGTCCTCATAGGAGAGGTGCTCCAGCCCTCAGATCATCCTTGTGGCCTCCTCTGGAGTTGTCCTAGCTGCTCCATGTCTTTCTTGTGTTGGGGGCTCCAGAACTGGATGCAGTACTCCAGGTGGGGCCTTACGAGAGCAGAGAAGAGGGGGAGTATCACCTCCCTCGACCTGCTGGCCACGCTTCTCTTGATGCAGCCCAGGATACGGTTATTGGCCTTCTGGGCTGCAAGCGCACATTGCCAGCTAAAATTAAGCAATGTATCTAGTTCATCCTATATAAAATGGTACCCTCTTAAAATTTTATGAAACTAGCCAGCATTCTTATTTCACTCATGCTTAACTAGTATTGCCAGCCCCCTTTGCCTTTTCCGAGTATGTAGCTGGTTTGTCATTCAAAAATGGTCTTACTCTTCCACGTGAACAGTTATGCTGTGAAAGACAGCTGAAATGGAGGTTTGGAGTAACTGCTTTGGCCAGTTCCCTTGGCCTGAGGGTTCTACTGCACATGCTTCATGGCAAAGTCTACCCAGGTCAGAGATCAGCATCCCTCCACCGCAATACAAACAAGTCCAAGGATGGCAATTTCACCTTTCTGTGCCCATCATCTATTGCCAGCAAGTAATGTGTTCTGCAACTCTGATTTTCTGGACCCCAGATTCCACACTGTGTGTATTAAAAAACTGCTTCCATACAGTCAGGTAGGGCCCTGACTTCGAAACCCTTGCCATGCACACAAGAGAAAAAAAAAAGTTTCTTCTCTTGTAAGGTTGTGGCAAAGCTTAACTTATTGAAGATTTATACTGAAAATAAAAGCACCCATCTTAAAAACTGAAGTGGATTCTGACTGCTATTTTAAGAAAAACTAAGTCTACTTAGCCACAGATCATGCTAACATCAAACCATGCATTCTCAAGTCAGAGAATTCCCATCAGCCTTAATTGGTGCTAGATTTGTAGGAAGTACAGTCTGAATACATAAAGGCTACTGTGAAGTTCATCCTTGAGTGAAATTTCCAAGTCAAACCTTTTAATGGCTGGCGTTCTCGTGCTCAGTATTCAGTACTGATTTCCAAGAGCAGGATGAAATACTTGAATTCTGTGAAATCACACAGTGTCTTGAGTTGGAAGGGACCCGTAAGGATCAAGTCCAACTCCCTGCCCCTCACAAGACTACCTAAAACTAAACTATATGACTAAAAGCATCATCCAGACACTCCTTGAACTCCAACAGGCTTGGTGCTGTGACTGCTCCCCTGGGGAGCGTGTTCCAGTGACTGACTCAATTGCAGTTAATTCTGCCAAGGACCAGCTGAAGGATTTAAGTTTCACCAATCTTACACTCAGTATCACAAGCAAGTGTCGGGATTCCTCCATCTGGAAACATTATCCTGTTTACTACGATTGAAAAAACCCAAACGACCTACTGAACGGTACCAAGTGAGTTCTACCCACAGCTCCTGAGATTAGCTTGTTTCGTTCCTGTAGACACTGCCGAACCATCACACAGGATTTTGCAGTTACAGGAAAATCCTGCTTGTAGAAAAATCAACATGCATGCTGTCCTGGTTTTGCTAGGATAGAGTTAATTTTTATCTCAACCCATGAGTCTCCTTGCCCTTTTCTTTCAAATTCTCTCCCCCGCTCCCTGGGGGTTGGGGGGGGAAGAGTGAGAGAGCAGGGGATGTGTTTGGCTGCAAGACAACAGGGTGAAACCACCACACATGCAAATGTATTATAAACTGGAACGTCTTACTAAAGACCTGAATATATATTTCAAGTTCTCAACAGGTAACTGTATCAAGACAAAGGGCTGTGGTTCCCGTTTGGTCTGCAGGATGCAGTTAGTCTAGACTACTATTTTATTTTAAGAGATGGCCAGTAACAATATGCACTGGAAAGTCTCATACTGAAAGTTAACCACAAAAAGGGTTTATTTTTCATATCATGTACATCTTTACTTCTGACTTGACTCAGACTTAGATGTAGAAGCTCTCAATGAAGAAAGCCGGCGTCTCTTCGCAATCTGTTCCTGGCGTTTCTCCTTAGCTTCCTGAAAAGCAAAGCAGCATGAAGTGAGTACTGAGATGTTACACATAACCAAACACTTCAACACCTACAAAGGAACAAACTAGGTAAAATGCAACTTGAAGGAAGCTACCAGAAAGAATGCATTCCTGATGTCAATAAAGCATAACACAGTTTCCCTTCTTCACAGAGCAGAAGAAATTCTACAAACATCCAAACCTGAATAGACCAATGTCTTTACACAATATAGACCAGTGTCCAACATTACAGTAAAAATCCTAATGCCAAGGTCATGACGTACTAGGTGGTCTACCTACTCCCAGTTTCACTCTGGAAGTCACAAAACACTCAAGTACTGTGCCAAATATTCCAGCAGTACTCCTTCAGCAGTCATTGCCGGTTTAGGTGCAAGAGCAAACTCATTCAAATAAATAGCTTCTTACCAAGTTATCTTCTATCCAGGTCAGCTGCTGCTGGATCATGTTTCTCCATGCAATCACTCAAATGCTTAGGCACCCAAGTTAAACTAGAATTCACCTGAACTAAGACTGCTACTGCAAAACTTATCCTCACAGACCATAACTGCCATTTCCTTAAAAAATCAGCTAATTAAATCAGTTAATTAATTGGTGTACTTACATTCTACTATTCTAGACGGGCAAAAATGGGTAGAAATGCTCACAAATTTATATTTACATTCAGGCATTCCTATTCAAAACGAGCTAGGTACAGAGAAGGTCTAAGAGTACAGTCAGGTTCATCAAATCCCTTGATTCCAGGGTATGAGGTATTCCACGTAGCTGAGCTGTAAAGACAAACGCACCTTCATTCTCTTGGCCAAGAGCTTCGCATATTCTGCTGCTTCCTCCTTATTCTTTTGAGTGCGCTGCTTCTTCAGAGCAATACGTCTGCGCTTATGTTGCAGAACTCGAGGAGTCACTAGTCGCTGGATCTTGGGAGCCTTGGTTCTGGGTTTCTTGCCTAAAAAAGCATTATGAATCAGCAGAAGTGGTATATTATCTTCTGAAGAGACCAAACTTAAAGAGAAAGTTCCATTTACTGCGATGGTAAGATTTTATAGTGTACTACGTATTACAGCTTAAATACCGAGTTCAACCTCTTGACAGAGTTTGCAGAAAAAATGACCAATTACCGTCAGACGTAACACTGACAAAATACAGTCTTAACGGTCACGATTTGTTATCAGCAATGAAGCATCTAAGCAATGCATCTCCAACTCCCTGCATTTTTGTGCAAATTCATGGCTTCTCAGGAGGCCTGCCTGAAGTAATTCACCCTAGACTTAAAAGTTTAAAGCATACGGAAACTCACCATCTACCTTTCAGAACAAGCCATTATGTTCTCAGTGGTAAAAAGCTCTCTACAATTCTACACAGGCTTGACATGTCTATCTCCAAAAAATAGATCTACATAGCCCATAGTGAGCAAACAAAACTCAAGTCCACACACATCTGTTCAATTTCACTACTCAATCCTGGCTGACTTCAGTAGTCACAAGGAACATCTTATGTCCACTAGGATCACAGATTAGTTCCTACAATGCAGAAAATAGTTGCCTTTTACCCAACAAAATTTCACAGTGCTCAGGCTTTACAATATCCTTTATGTTAAAAGTCCTCACCCTTTCTGTTCCCTGATAAAACGCAGAAGAACCCAGAATCAAAACCTTACACTGCAAGAGTCAGCTGGTAAGCAAAAGAGTGCCATCCCAATAAAAGCTCAGAGACTGACATAAGCAATAGAGAAAAATCTTAGTATCTTCCCTATATAGTTCTTCCCCTCCATCTCATAAAAATTTTTCAAAAACATTCTACTTCATATTTAACCTTCATTTATTAACAATTATTTTGGGGTCATTCGTAGAACAACAAATAAATATTATTCTATTGAACATTTAAAACTGTGCCGAAGTAGATGGAAAGGGAATACAGAGGTAAAAGAAATGGGGCAACAAAAAAACTCCCACTTGTCTCTTAAGTTACAGCTGACAAAGCTTGTCAGCTCACGACAGTGAACTCCTGGATCTACTACTGTAGTGTGCTTCATTCACTGCAGTAAGCTAGACACCTCTTTGCTCATAAGTACATGAAACCAGAGAGCTGTGTAATTTGAGTACTTACCCTCTTTGTTCAGAGGCTTCCTCACAACATACTGGCGAACATCATCCTCCTTAGACAGGTTGAACAGCTTGCGGATTCTGCTAGCCCTCTTGGGACCAAGACGACGGGGCACAGTTGTGTCTGTCAGTCCTGGAATATCCTTTTCACCTTTGAGAACGTAAGTTTAAACATGCCAATTAATCCTGCATATCCTGAACGCCTGGTTCATTAGCGAATTTCAAGTGTAAGTTTAAAATGCATAATAATTCAATGCAATACTAGACAATCCCCGGGGTTCACCTGCCAATAGCACCACCCCAGCTACCCTTTGCTGACTGAACGTGATCAGATTGCTGTCAGCAATTAAAGTGTTTCAGTGACCAGTTTTAAAATTACAAGAATGTAATGCTCAGAGGGAATTTCCAGACACATTCACACTCTAAAAGTCAGGGCTGCGTTTGCACTCTACAGAACTTCTCAGCCTCCAGAAAGCAGGCTCCTTCCGAGTGCCTACTTCTACCTACTGACTGCTTCACCCGGACTCTCACCCTTTTTCACTATCACCAAGTTCAGAACACTCAAGTTGGCATCAACGATGCAACCACGAACAGATTTGCGTTTTCTCTCTCCAGTTCTTCTGGGGCGGTAGCAGGAGTGGCCCTTGCTGAGCAGAAGGCGGACACGTCCAGGAGTCAAGACACCTTGCTTCATGGGGAAGCCTTGTTTGTCATTGCCACCACTGATCCGAACAACATAGCCCTACAAAAAGACAGAACTACACTTAGTTGCTCACATCTCTATTACTTCAAGGAGAAGTGGCAGGCATTAGAATGCACTGTTTAAAACAAAGAGGCACTGAGCCCGTGATTCAGGAAAAGTCACGGTTACTGCTGATGCAAACAACTCATTTCACCATGACCACTCCCAACAGGTCAGGAATTTTACTGGACAGACGTGAAAAATACCTCCCTGTACCTGAAGTTATATTTACTCTACTTATCTTCAAATATATATTCAAAGATTAAATTCCTATCCATTCAAAGTTTTGTTTAAACTACACCAGACTGAATTTTGTCCATAGTGTCTAGCTTTTCTGTAATCCTGAACCTAACCAAAGCCTGTGATCACCACAAACGGGAAATCTGTATACAACACAAGAGCATCAGAAGTAGGGATACAGGGGTAAAAGGAAAAGTAAAGCTTTTATTGCCTTCCTCGTGGTAGTGGCAGCAGAAAAGATCAACTTACCCAACTTCAGCCGGACTCTCCATATTAATACTCAACTATTCCAAGCCCAACAATGCTTTTTGCCATGCGCTAGCAGCAGTTTAAACACAATGAAGGCAATTCTGAGCTTGTTCAGTAAAGAAGGGAACAGCAATTTCACTCTCAAATAAAGAACAAAAAACTACTGCAAAAAGCAGCAAGAAACTCTATAATCACAAAGCTTTAAAAAAGAAGCACTTGGACATTCCAGCCTCATCACCAAAGTCAGTACATACACATGAGAAACTTTCCACATGCCTGCCAAATGTACACCATTCAAGCACTCCAGGGTAACAGCTGCAGACTAGAGAAATTTCATAACATGAGCTCCTTCGACACAGCCCCGACACATCCTTCTACACCTCTTACCTTCCACTCCTCGCCGAGAGAATCAGCCGCAACCTCCGTGGCCATACGTTTCTCATAGAAAGTTCTCAGCTTGCGCTCATCATCCACTTCAATGAGTTTCTGGCAGCCAGTGGCTGGGAAAGAGATGTTCAGCTAAAAGAAAAATAAACAAATAAATAAAACAGATTTGGTTGAAACGTCCCATGAGACATTTACATGGAAAATTAGTATTTATTTGCTGGTTTCATCTTCGCATTTCAAAACTGACATTCCCTACCTGCTCACACGAATGCTTACTATCCTTGGGCACACTGAGCCCTATTACTCGTTCAGTTACACAGAACAACTGGCTTTACCATGCCTGGAGCTTCACCACCCTCGAACCGACTGCAGCCGAGCACATCCAAGGTGAGAGCCGCAGAAGCCTGTTCACTCTTCTGCAAGCCCTTTGCAGCACACATGGTATGAGAAAACGGTTTAAGCAAGCTGAGCGGAGCGACACGTGCCGCCAGTGATGACTTGTGCTTCGTAGGGGCCTGTGCAAAGCCCAGAGCCTCGGAGGCGCCTCTTGGCACCACCCCCCGATCACGGCCCGGTACCAGCACAGGCCCAGGCCCAGGCCCAGCACACACGGCACGTCCCTGCTAGGCCCCGCTACCGACAGCGCAGGCCTGGCACTCGCAAAAGG